TTCCCTTTAGGGTCCATCACGTGAGTTCATTGAGGTGACAGGACAGACAATGCTATATGTGTATTACAAAGTTCGGAATCTGCACTGTCCAGTGTGGACAAACTGTGTGCCCACGAGGCCGGCGGAAGGGCCAGTACTGTTCCAGAAAGGTCACAACACCGAGCTGTGAAATCATCATCGATCACCGGGCAGAAGAGTAGAGACTAATACAAGCAACTGAAGGAGACAAGAACTCTACAAGAAGAGAATTCGGATTCTTAGAAGACGGGTTCGAGCAGAGAATTTAGTAAGGTAAATGCCGAATTGTGTGGTGGGATGCAGAACTCAGTACCAGACGTAACTGCACATTTCCTGAGGTGACTCACCCTTGAACTTCACTGAATGATTGTGCCAGCACCTGAAGGGGAACAGCCATGCTACCCATCTGGTGCCAACAGGGCCTGGGTGCTTCGTGTACAGAAGGATCAAACAAATGGATGAGGAACACAAACAGCATCAAAGTAAAAACTCTGATGACTCTGTTAATAAAAGTGCAGTAGATACTCGACGTCAAGGTCAAGCTGATGTTGGGGTGAATATTTTTCTTATATTGCCTACAGCTATATCTTTTCACATCTCCTGAACTACCGAGTTCAGGAATAAAAAGACAGTAACAAATAGTGATATCGGAATTAATATCTTTTAAGTACTATATTAAGTAACATATAGAGATTGACATGAGGATTTATCCATCACATTAAATGAATGTTTTCGTTTTCTCCTGCTGATTAACAAAGTATTACAAACTTATTGGCTTAAAACAATGTTCATTTATTATCTCACAGTTATGTAGGTCAGAAGTCTGGGTTGGGTGAGTTCTCTCCTTAGGGTCTCAAATGGTCAAAATCAAGGAAGCATCAAAAGCAGAGAACTCGTTCAGGTCATTGGAAGAATTCACTCCCTTGGGGTTGTAGGACTGAGGTTCCTGCTTCCTCGCTGGCTGGCCAACTGGGGAACATTCTCAGCTCCAGGAGGCCACCCACCATTCTCCGCTAAATAGCCCTCTCTGTGACATGCCAATCTGAGGCCTTCCGGCAGGAAGGGGTATTGGCCATAGCTTAAAATTCTGACATCGTCTATCCTGATCTTTAGAACTTCCAAAAGTCCATAAAAATTATTACTAATACTTTTTGTGTATAGTTAGATCAAACAGGAAAGTCTCCTTTTTGATTAAAAATCAAGCGATTAGGGGTCTCAACGACTTATACAATTGCCCTTTTGCCATATAATGTAACATGATCATGGAGTAATATACCATGATACTCACCGACTTTCCTTGCACTAAAAGGGGGGGATACATATAAGACTTGTACACCAGGAGAGAAAATATTGGGGTCAGCACAAAACTCTGCCTATCGTAGTCCACCCATCGGTCCCCAATGCTTCATTTCCATCACAGGTGCAAAATACGTTCACCTCTTCTGAAGACTCACAAGAACGTCACCCCATTACAACATCAACTGAAAGTCCAAAATCTCATCTAATCTCACCAGCTCAAAGTCCAAATGTTCACCATCGCAATCATCTAAATATGGTGCAAAGGAGGCTCCTGAGGGCAGACCTTGAAGGATCATGACCTTCCATCCCTGGGGTACACTTTCTCCCCACATACGAACTCATGAAATCAAAGAGACAAGCTACCTCTCCAGCCAGTGTGGCTCAGTGGTTGAGCATCGACCGGTGCACCAAGAGGTCACCAGTCTGATGCCCAGTCAGGGCACATGCCCAGGTTGTGGGCCCGATCCCCAGTGGGGGGCATGCAGGAGGCGGCCAATCGATGTTTTCTCTCATTGATGTTTGTATCTCTCTCTTTCTCTCTCTTGAAAAATCAATAAGGAAAAAAAAACAAAGCAAAGAGACAAGCTACCTGCCTCAACACCCCCAACATACAGTGGTGGTACAGGCATAAAATAAATGATAGAGATTCTGGCTCTCACAGAAAAGGCAATGGAGAGTAACCAGGAGTCACTGGTCCAAAGCAAGTTTGAAATCCAGCAGCCAAACTTTTGGATTTTTCTTGACTGTGTTTCACGTCCCAGGACTTAAGCCTCTGTAGCGGTGGACTTTGCCCTCCTGGCTCTCGCTTCTGCTCTCTGAGTTAGCCCTTCTCTCTAGTGAAAGGTAACATGTTTACAGCTGAGTAGTTTTATCACTTGCTTTGCACCATTAAGACTTTGGGTTTCTGACAAACCATCTGTACCTGGTATTCACTGTCTCTTTCAGTCCAAGCTGACAGTGTTTCTGCTGGAATAATTTTCTCAAGAACTTTGTGGACCTGGTTTACAATTCACTTGGTTTCGCTCTCTTAGACAAAAGTCACACCCATAAATCTGTTTGAGATCGTCCTTTCTCTCTCCTTGCTCCTGCTGGGATGGTTAAAAGGCACTGGAAGGAGGCCTTCCAGTTTGATGGGGGTCTGTAAAGCATAACTTTGACCTCTTGAAAGGACTTTTCGGTTACTGACACTGCAATCTTTTGATGTTTCTGGTGGTTACGGAAAGGTTGTGTGTTTACAATGTTCAATAAATTTTACTAGTCACTTCAGAATATGTTTACAAATAAGTTATCTTTCTTAAAGAATACAAGTCAAATTTAATACTTAAAAATGTTGAGGTCTCTTTTGGGGTGCCCATATATATACCCATCTCCACTGGATACATATCAAAGCAAAACTACATAGGCCATGAGAAAGATTAAATTTGTTTCAGTAGAAGTTATTGTAAATTTACGAGATAATCACGGAGAATGTCATTGCAATACACATTATTCAAATGAGAGTGATCATCTACCCACTGTGTAGGAACATAAAAAGTTGGGTGCTTCCTTCCTCTGGAGGAAGAATACCCTGTTTCTTCTGGATGCGTCATTGAAAAACCCAACCACCTGAATGATTTCTGGAAATAGTAATAAGGTGCATGGAAACATTTACCTTTTACCTCTAATAGAAATATTTTGAAAAATATATGTACAGTATATCATTCACCATTTCTTATAGGAGAAAAAAATGTAAAGACTTATCGATCTTCATCAAACTCCGAGTTGGAAGGGACCTGAGAGAGTAGCCAGCCCTCCCATCATCCAACACAGACGCCCCCACACCGCCCCGGCCAGATGGAGCTCATTTCAACCGCATCAGCCCTGGATTCAGAGTCAATATCCTCTGTGGAAACACATTCAGTTCTAGAATGTCAAAACGCCTATTTTTTTTTTTTGGTCATACACTGGACTCAAATATTCCCTTCTAATTATGTTGAAAAGCATCAACCTTAACTCCCAGACAAGAAGGCACAACACCCAACACAAGCCCAAGATAGTTACTGCATTTTGAACCATTAAAAAAAAAAAAATCTCTAAGATAAACATTTCTAGCCCTTTCTCACGATTCCAGATGCGCCTGCCTCCTGGCCAGCCTCCTCCTCACCGATGGCACCCAGAAGGGAGCAGGCTCCGCACCGCGGCTTCCCACGGGCTGGCTCCGCTGACCACTCATTGCTCTTCCCTAATAGAAGCCGAGACGGCAAAAGATACGTTTTGTCAATTATTCAAAAAATAGCTTCAATGGAGTTTAATGAGATAAAACCTTAGGAAGCCCTAGGACTTCCTATACCAGGTTCTTCTAGGCTGTTGTTGTTTACTTGGTATTTGAAACAAGAATATATATATATATATAAATTGGTCTCTACTACATGGTATGGAGTGGCTTTGGAAAAAAATGCAGATGTTTGTGACATTTTTTAAAACTTGACATCATCTGAAATATTAGCTAAGCCTTCTAGCTTTGTCATTTAAATTAGATACTATTATCCAAGACTGAAAGGAATAGTGAATGAAGTATGCAGGAACCCCTTATCAAAGGCCGTCTGTGGGACATGATGGAGCCATCGCCAGAGACGTCACCAGAGGCGCGGTCTCGTAGCCTGAATGTCTTCGAGGAAATGACAAGATCTTGGTGGATTTCTGTCGGTGTGTTTGTTTGCCACACACCTTGCTGAAATCAAGAGGGACTACTTTTACCATTTTGACCAACTGCTGAAATGGAGACATAAAGGCCCACCTGCTGTTTCAGTCTGCGGTAGTGCCGCTGTTTCGCGCTCTCTCTGATGGCGTCAGGGCTCAGAAAGACCGCGTGACATTTCTGGGGACCTAGAAGTCTCCCACTGGGTCATTGGGGAGGAATTTAAGACCCAGACTGTTTGTTTACTGTATAAAAGAACTGTCTGAGCGAATTAGCATCTATGAACTGAGAACATACTGGCCGCTGTATGGGTGAGAAATTCCTGGAATTTCCAATATATCCAAAAGGTACAGCTTCAAACGACAAGGTGCCGATTTGTTAAAGGTGCGTTTCTCAGGATTACTCTCCACGTGCATCCCCATGTGAAACATAAGTTATTCCGAGGTCCTATAGAACACTCCAAACATGTACCTATTTATATGACTCATTACTCGTTACAACATAATTTCCTAAAATGGCTGAGCTTTGCGCTGGAGTCTGAGTATCGCCCACTGAGCCATTTTTAATATTTTCCGAAACTTTTTCTCCTTCTCAAGCATTTCTCCCTCTTGGCCTACCTTAAGGGAAACTCTGTAGGCACAGACTTGCTTGAAATCAATGCAAGTTACGCTCACTAATGAGAGCCCACCGAACATTTCTACCTGAGCTTTTAAGATTTGTCCCCAGATGTCACCAGACGCTGCCACGTCAGCCCTCTAAGCTTTGTGAGAGTCCAACCAAAGACAGAGGATCCACCGGATGGGGGGCTGTCTCAGCAAGGCCACGAGGCCTGGGCAGACAGCCGGCAGAATGTCACATGCAACCTGTCCTGTCCCTGGACCACAAGATGGAGAGGGGCTTCCCGAGCATAACGACTCCTCGGGGCGCACCTTGGTGCACAGACGGTGCACCGCAACCCCCGTGAGCGGGTGAGGCTGCACCCCAGCACCGCCCGCCCCAAGCTTACGGTCTTGGAAGGATGTGAAGAGGAGCTGGAAGCGGCTGTTCCGGCTGCCCTCGTCCGCCCACATGCGGATCACGCCCAGGCCGGTGCGCAGCATGACGTCGTTGGCCACCGTGCTGCAGAACTTGGCCTTCAGGTCCTCCACCGCGCTGCTGCCGTCATACACAGCCACGAAGTTCCTCTTGCACTCGTTGGAGTTCTGCATCTCGTAGTCCAAGAACCGCAAGTAGATCTGCAAGGCAGAACACATCCGACCGTGTCCCGAGTCGAAATAGGAAAGTCGTTCAGTAAGGCCCACAACTCCCTTTCCCTTTCTTAGACTCACAAGCCAGTCTTGATTGCAATCAATGTTATTATTTTCCCTGTGGATGGCAAGAGGAGAGGGCGGATGAGGAAGTTCAAGTTGTGTTGAACGGTTTTGTGTTTTTTTTTCCCCAAATGTTATTATCCTTTCTTTATATAAATTACCATTTTCCATGGCTGAGTATTTTTACCCAAATGATCCTGTTTCTCCTCGTAACTTATCTGGAATGAGCTATTCATTTTCATACTTAAAAACTGTTTTATTTGGATCAGCACAAACGTGTTACAGATACTTTGGGTGAATTCCTGTTCGAGTTCCATGGCTTCCACTTACTTCCCAAAGTGTGTGGACATGAATAATTTGTATCGACACCAAAGGGAAACTGAGGGTATCAAAAGGTCCCCTCTGACTTCGCTTTGTCGAATTTATTTCACTTAACTACACTGCTGCATCTTTGAGGCAAATTTATATATAATATATATACAACATATATATAAAATGGTAGGTGAGCTCTCTCTATATAGCTAACCTACAATTATTTTCACCATAATATAGAGATAAGTCATTTAGTTAAGTCCACATAGATACAAATTAAAGCAACATTTAGTGAGTAAAAGCTATTGTGCAATCTACTTTATAGGTGATTTTTAAAGACTCCCAACAACTCTATATAAAGTTCTTTTGTCATATTCAAATGAAAATACTCAAACGATGTACGTTGGAAGTTCGACATGAGGTCCCGCTAGCTCCTTGATGTATAATCTCGATAATCCTCCTACAGGGTCATGCGGCTTCACACACACTGTTATGATCGACAATTAAAATTTGACTCTGTTCCAAAGGGCATTAAAACTTACAAGCAATTAATTCAACCAGTGATAGACTTACAGAGTGACTTGCCCACTTATCCACTAGTTCAGCAGCCTCCCCACGACATAAATTCGACGTGAACTAAGCACTGGGCATTCTCTGCCAACCAACCTCTTCCCGAATTTTCAAGGTCTAGTTCAGAGGTTGGTCGGAAATTCTGTTTTCTTTACTGACTTTGTTTGTTAGGTGCCATTACATATTTGTTGGGCACCTCTGTGCCAATGTTTCCAGTGCTATACGTAATGATACTTACACAGAACAAAGGACATTTTTATTATTTTTATGCAATAAACCTCAGAACAACATACTTATATAACTGTGACATAAAAGCAAAAGACAGTGTGTTGCAGAATTATAAGGAACACTTTGTCAACGCCATCTTAAAATGAAAAAAGAAAACAAAACAAGGTTTGGAAAAACTAGGTAACTTTCTGAAAGTGATGCCGACCCCTGAGAAAGGTACTGAACTCCGCTCGTCCAGACGGTTTGCTCCCTGGGGCCACTACACGGCCTCAGGGCATGTTTTATAAATTCTCACAGACTTACATTTCATCAAGGAAGCTAAAATCTTAAAGCAAACAGGCTACAACAAAATTAAAAAGTAAGCCAAGCCACCCCCATGCCCTAAAGGGGCAAGCGACGATGTTGACGATGGCGACATAAACGAGGTTCATGGAGGGTAAGTGTGTCCCTCTGAAATCAAGGGCGGTCTTCAGTGTTCTCCAGAGATGAAGAGATTTTAGAGAAGAATGGTGTGCAGTCAGCAAGGCTGTGTTTTCCCACGTGACGGTTTTAGAGCGTGTCCTATTTTCCCTAGAAGGTGACTGACTTGCGTTCTTACAGGAACGTCAGTGACCAAGGTCTAAGCACCTAAGCACCTTCTATAGTTAAAGGCCATTCTTATTAGATGGGGGGGGGGGTGAACTATTACAGTCACTGGATTTTATTATTTACTGCTGAAGGACTCAATTACCTTTTTAACGTATTTTTCCATCATTCAAGAAAATGCCAGTGGTCTTTCGCTCCCCTGGGTGAGGGCCATCCCTGCCAGGTCGTTAGCCTTCCCACACGCGCTCCAGCGGAATCACAGAGAAATCCTCCCTGCTCTGTGATGGACATAACAGTCCAGCGTCTCACAGCTCGTACACGTCGTCTCCTGGGGGAGGGGCCGCACGGCGCTGTGTTCTGTCCGGGGAGCCAACCACAGGAAGCTCCCGAGGGAAGGAGAACATGATCAAAGAATCGCACACACTCCAGTGAGCTAGTCCGATCCCAAGCTCCTCTCGGCGAGTCATTCCGGTGCATTCTTCACGGGACTCGATGGAGTTCGAGCTGCCACGGGGGTTTACCAGACGGGACTCAGGAAGCTTCGGTACATACCGCACTTTTCTAGTCTGCCGTCCCCTCCCACGAGGGCCAGCAGGTAAATCTAGCTAACGGTTCCCTAAGTGACACAGTTACACATCCAGTACTGACCATTCAACCCGGTCCCTCCCTTCCCGTCACACTGAGGTACAGAAAACAGACTATTTGGGGCGGTTGTTAAGACGTGCCTGAACACTTCTCTCCATGAGAAAGACAAATTAAATTCGCCACAGTCTGCGAAACCCTGCCCATGTTTTCAAACCCCCACCGCAATCAAGAAAGCACCTTCTGAATCCGTGCAGCCAGGGTGGGTGCGGTGGCTCTTTGACTTGGGGCCTGGCAGGCGAGGCCTTAGCCCTGCAGGCAGGACACCCCGTGAATTTGGAGGAGAGCAGCATCCAGAACGGAACCAGAACACCAGCCTCTTTTCTGGAATGCTGAGAAACACACACTCTGCAACAAATCCTGGTACAACAACATCAAAATGCTTTTTTGACCCCCACCGACGAACACCAAACATTTAAAAAGTTCATCTGGGTGGCTCTCCAAAATACAATAGTGCAAAACTGAGCTATCACTGCAGAACAGAGTTGAACTATGACATTTTAATGGGTAGTAACCCCAGTTATAGTTTTCATTTTGTTCAGCCAATTTTTATTTCTCTTTTTCAAGATAATAAGGGCAAACTCAATCTTCAGAACCCTAAAACTTATCCTCGTGATCAATTACAGTTACTACCCTGTGTCTATTGAATTAGTTTGCTCCTTGCTCTATAACAAATTACCACAAATCGAGCAGCTTGACACAACACCCATTTATCATCTCTGGAGGCTGGACTTTGGTCTCAGTAAGCGAGTGTACACAAGGCAGAAAACCCAGGTCTCTGACCCTGTTTTCTTGATTGTCTACGGGGATCACTTTTAGCTCCCAGAAAACTCTGATTTTTAAAAATCTCATCTGATTACATTAGGCTCACCTGGATAAACTGTCTTTTAATTAACTCAGAGTGAACCACTTGGGAACCTTAATTGCATCAGCAAAATCCCTTTTGCCAGGAATTTAACATCATCAAGTGTGTGATATTTTATCTTGTTCACAGTCTTAGGGACTGGGCTGGAAATCTTTGGGATCATCTTTAAGATTCTGCCCACAACAATTAATTTCACGGTATAATTAACTTGAATACAACATTGCTATGAAACATTGTATTGTATCTGTCAGGTTTTCTGTTGACTTTAGTCTTAATTGTATTCTAAAGAATTTTTAAAATAAGGCACAACATATTCAAAATTAATTTGGAGTTTTAAATGATGGGCAATTATTCAAAGCTAGAGTTTTATTCTCCCAGGACCTAAAGTTGTTAAATTATCTCCAGTTGTACATTTTTATGTCTTTGACTAATCCCTTCCTAACTGATCACATTTCACAGTTCCCCCAAATAGTGTGGCTTTGTGGACTAGACTGGGAGTCAGAAGGTGACAGCCCTGTTCAGCACCATCAGTGGCTCACCAAATACTTGGGCGGTCATTACAGACTCCTCAAGTTTTGGTCTTGAAAGGAGTTTAATATTATCTGTGCCAAAAATGTACTTGACTTTTTAATCATTATACAAAATCCCTGCCAGACTCTACTACACTCCTCCTAAGGGACCTCATTTGATCTTTGGGCCGCTCCATTATCCAAAGGAAAAACAAAAAGCATCTCTATATTGAATGCAAAGCTCCATCCCCCCCGTTTCAAGCATGCAAACACGCTGCAGTATTTAAACCCAGCAGATTAGCCTTCTCTTCTTATTCCTGCCATACGACAGTCCTTCAGATCTTTGAAGAGGGCTACCACGTCCATTTCTCTAGATAGACATCTGCTCATTTTCTCCATGGTTTTAACTGAATGACAGACATTTTGCTTGGCACGGATAACTAAGTCCAAACTTTATGAAATTAACGTTCAAGCAGTTACCATAATTTGATCATCCAGCATTTGTCTCTGGATCAGACCCAGAACGAGACAACATGATACCCATCCAGTATCCTTGCTCTAGAGTCTGTATGAATCCCAAAAAGTTGCTTACAACGGCCCTTTCTGACTTCCCATCGTTAACCCATATAAAACTTCATTATCCTGACTCAGCTGTCAAGTGAACCAGTGAGTATCGGATTTCCAAAGTTCTCCCTGACTGGCATTTCAAATTCTAAGAAACGGGATTAATCACACTCGGATTAAAAGTGACCCTCTGCATTACTAGTCTCACCCAAAGCAGACACCAGATATTGTCGTTTCTACTTGTCAAAAGGCTGAGCAGCAATACACACTCAACATAAATGGTAACAGAACCCAAATAAGCAATGTGTTTCAATCACCGGTTATTCAAATACTCCCTGGGGGCCAGTTCACCTTCCACCTGCGCGGTGACGGTCTCCTCTCCTAAGCTGCTGGGGCCGCCACACCAATAGGAAGGCCCGTAGGCAGTCATCTCTGGCGCCTACTTTCCTCCGGTTACTCAGAGCTACTTGCTGGCCTCTAACCTTTAACCGAACAGACAAAGCCTGTCACAACTGAGCCATCTTTGTGTGGCTCTGCAGGTGGCCTCCGCTTTGGGTCACGGACGTCAGCGTCTGCAGCAGATGGTACCGCGGCATTGTTGTCCTGGGGCCTTTCAAAGGGCAGCCTCTCCACCCGCTGGGAGGACGCGGCCTGTGTCTGCCGTCCCTTAAATCCCTCTCTGTGACGATAGCAGTGACAAAGAGGCTGGCTGTGATGATAACGCTGGGCTCATGTGTCCAGTGGAGAAGACGGCTTTTGAAAGTCTCTCATTCATAGAGTGTAAGAGAAATGCAGAGTGTTTGCCTGTGAAACCAGAGATGGAGTCAAAGGGCGGAGCAAAGAGCAACCCGCCCCTTCGGAAGGGGAGCTGAGCTGCTGGGAACCCATAGCCCTTGTTTGTTCTGTTTGAAGGAGGACCCACTGCCTTTCTTCGCGGTTAATTTTTTTCAAGGATTTGGTCAGATGCAAGGTGCCAGCACGTGGCACAGCTGGAACGTGGGCCGTGGTCTCTGATCTCCGTACCGGAGTTCGGGGAATGGGTGCCACACTCCAAGCTCTGTGCAGACCCCAGAGACACAGCCGGGGGGGCCACGCGAAGAAGCGTGAGTGTATTTCCTGAAACACCAGCTGGCTCCCAGGTGACTGGCTTCCCCTTGTCCTGAATGTCCAGCCACCAGATTCTGCGGCACCTGTCGGGGTTACCGTCACAGACCCCCTCCTCTGTCCAGAACCACAAGCATCACCAGGGTTGCTACCCGGGCTTCCTCGGGGGCCTCTGCTTACGGCGTAAACCCTGCTGTCCTTGCCTCGCAGGGGACACTGTCTTCCAGAACACAGGTCTGATCACGGCACTTTCCTGGGCACACGCCTGCAGGTGTCCCTGGTGCTCAACCAGGTCCTGTCCACACGGGCCCCATCCCTCACACAGCTGTTTTACCTGCTGGAGACACGTAGTTTTGTAAGCCCTGGACCACTTCTTCCCTCGACGTGATTTCAGGTTGAAAAGCGTGACTGTAGTTACACTTAGAACCGTCACTATGAACAAGGTTTCAGTCCACCTTCCAGAGGGGTGGCACTACAGTAGTCTCCTGCTCAGGTTATCAAATGACCTTTGGCAACATCTCGGCGTTAGTTATGCCGTGAAAGTTACACTGGACAGGGGCAGACAAGTTGCATTTCAAAACCCAAAATAGCCCTGGCCTGTTTGGTTCAGTGGTTAGAGCATCGGCCTCGCACAGAAGGGTCTTGGGTTCGATTCCTGGTCAAGGACACGTAGCTGGGTTGCAGGTTTACCCCGGCCCCAGTAGGTCAGGGCACGTGCAGGAGGCAACCAACCAATCGATGTGTCTCTCTCACATCGACTCTCCCTCCCTCCCTCCCTCGGACTCTCTCTGAAGATCAATGGGAAAAATATCCTCGGACAGGATGAACAGGAACAGACAGACAGAATGACAGCTGTGGCGGAAGTCGGAAACGCGGTGAGCACGCTGGCTAGCGCTGTGCGGGCTGCGACCCGAGCCAACTGCCGAGCCTGGGCGTGACCGTTAGACTGACCTTGGACCGCGGAGGTGCCCGGATGTACCACTTGCAATCGACGGCCTCCCCGGCGGCAGCTCTGCCCTCCTTCACAATCTGCACGGACTCCACGATGCCTTCGGGGCCGCCCAGCTCGAACTCACACGCTGAACAACGAGATGCCAAACACAGGGATGGAGCTTGAGTAATAAACCAAGAGTATATTTCAGAGCAGAAAACAAGGGCCTCGGAACACGATTAAATAGCTGTTTTACCGACCTGGTAACGGTTTCAAAACGCCAAGGTCCTTAAAGTCAGGATCTTAAAAATTGAGAAAAAGACAATTAGTCGTATTCGGTATTTATTACTTACAAGGATGCTGAGTAATATACCATTAAAAGATGCGGGAATCTGCCTAAATACCCACATTAGGGGATAATTAAATGCTTAAATCAAAACCGCGTGATCACGTTAAGACTGAAATGTTAATTTACGTAACATGTTGCTATTACGACAGAGTTTTTATCAAGACAAAATAAGCCATTTTAAAAAACCATCCAATGTCATTCTTCCCTCTAATCATCAAATAAGAATCATCAAATAAGAACGTTAATTATCTTTAACTCCACAGATGGACAATAGATGTTTTTGTAATATACCCGTAGATAATTCAAGGTTTGGGTAAACGTCCATCTACTCTAGATACAACGATTTCATCTGATTTAACTATTCAACTATTTCAGTCTGTGAATCGTCGAAACAGTTTTCAACTGAAACGTAGAAGCGGAGAGTGAAGATGTCAGACCCAAGGCTGCTGCCCCCTGGTGGCGCACAGCCTTCTTGCCATGGGGTCTTTCCCTAACTTTCCGCACCCTGCGGCTTTGCAGACCCCCAGGGTTCTTCTGTGTCTGCTCCGTACGCACTGGGCTGCTTCCTCGCAGCCCCAGCAGGCCAGGCGTCTGTCCATCATCTCTGCACATCCATGTCGGGGTCGCTTGATCTGCCAGGAGCCTCAGAGGGGCCGACTTGTTCGAAGCCCCAAATGCTGATCTCCCGTGAAATCGGTTTCCTGGAACCGATTTTGAGATAGCCTGCGTGGTACGAAGGCCAGCCCACTGGAGGGCTGCTGCGACTTTCCCTCAGTAATAACAGAGGCCAAGCAGGTGACGTTTTCCGGGCTCATGCATGTCATGTTCACACAGGACCCTCTGGGATCACGTGCAGTGACCTTGTGATGAGCAGAATGGGGACCTGGAGAGGCAGGAGTCCTCACCTGTACCACTGGGCTCGGGAGGAACCGACTCGGGAGCTGCACTCCCCCGGGGAAGGGGTTGCTTTCCAGACCACACTTGTCCTTCTAGCCTCAGTTACTTCCCACTGGATTTCCTTTAATGAGTGGGCAAAGGCTTCAAAGTCTATACTTTATGTTCGAGACACTTGATGTCCAATTTAAAAGATGATTCTGTAATTTAATTTTGTTTTAGTACAATGATATTAGTTATAAATGTAAAATCTCCTAAAGTTAGAAATATGGGGGGGGGCGCCAAAGTCCGCTTACAGCTGTGAGCATGGGAGACAGTCTAAGCCTGTGTTGTTATTTACTGATGACCGTGTTACTTTCCACACGAATAACTGAACCGACGTTGGCCCGGTCCTGGCCCAGGCACTGCTCGCTGGAGTCCAGGACCTGGCAGGAGAGACCAGCTCTTCCCTCTTCCCGAGGGAACGGCTTCGGGTCTTCAGACTGCGTGTGGGTGCATCGTGCGCCCAGTGCTTCCCCGGGTGTCTGTGAGCTTGGGGGCACTGAACCCACGTCTGCAGGCCCACGGTGCCTGTTACAGGCTGTGTTTGTGTCTGTGAGGCCCCGCCAGTCTACAGCGTAGTCACATAACCTGTTCTTCAGACTCGGTTTATTACGGGACATTATTAGACAGTGGTAATACATTTTGCATCAAGGTACAAATTCCTTTGTGTAACTCTTTTTAACACAGTTCTTTTATCTTTCTGGGGAAGGGAGGAAGGGAGGAAGGAAGGAAGGAAGGAAGGGAGGAAGGAAGGAAGGGAGGGAGGAAGGGAGGGAGGGAGGGAGGGAAGCAATGGGAATTGTATATTTCATGAAAGAAGCAGAAATAAGGGCAACATGATCACTTAGGATTAGGACACCCCATAGGGTTTTTTCCTGCATCTATAGATGTTTGGTCATTCTTTCAGGCGATGTAGATTTAACTTTCACTGTAGATTTAATGCCCACTGTAGATTTAATGCCCACTGTACAAGGAAAGGAACCACAATTTGTGTAGAATTACGCAGATGGGTGCCACCACAAGGTGGTCTGGTCGCCGTTGAAGAGACTACCCACACTTCTCCTTCTTTTGACATCCTACATGCCCACCTCAGTCATCCAGATTCTTTATTATTCATTATAACCTTTAGACCAATTTGAATAATGCTTAATAGTCATCATCATTAGTCACTGCCTCCTTTTCGATGAGCATGTTTCCGCCGTGTGCGGCTGTTCCTATGATCCTGGTGGGCATGTGGCCGGCGTTCTCTTTTCTACTTGAAGGCGAGCACTTGTCACTTTTATAACTCGTGCCAGACAACGTTGAGAGAAATGCCAGTTCTGAGAATTAAACATTTATTTTTGTCTTTGTGTTAATGGTCAGAGCACTGATAGTTTAAAGAAAGAAAGAAAGAAAGAGAAAAAAACTATGGGAAAAAAATGGTTTCTGCAATTCCGTTTGAATTAGCCATGGGTCACAGCACCATCACTAAAATAGACAGCCTGTAGAAACAAACAGAAATAAACACTGCAGTGCTTTCTAAAAGCGGCCGATGCCACATTTAAGAATATTAAGATTGATGTATTGTCCCAGGTTGTTCAAGGACAAGGACAAACTATTGTGCAGACACACCATGACATTGCTTGAGATGTCTTCTATTGTAGACTCCTCCCCAAATCTACTCGCCACTAAGCAACTCGAATACATTTTTTAAAAATACAAATGTAAACCTAATCATGATACTCGACTGGTTTTCCGCGGCCCTTAGGATACAACCACGACTCTCATGGACTAGACGCCCTGTGGGTCCTTGCCCCTGACCACCTGGCCCCGGCACCCCCGTTGCTCACCTCTGCTCTCTCCTCTCAAAACACATGGGACCTTTCTCTCCTCTGCAGCACTGGCTGTTCCTATGCTCAGCTCTTTGAACTCAGACTCTTTACTGCCCGCGACACCTTCCCCCAGGGCTTTGCCAAGCTGGATCTTTCTCATTCTTTAGTTATCTGATCACCTAGTATATTCTCAGGAGCATCTTCCTGATGACCCTGTTTACCGTGATGTTGTTTCTTGTGCAACAGTTGACTATGCTTCTGCTATTTGTTTACATTGTGTCGACCACATCCTCCCCCTAGACGGAAAGACTCCCTTTCGCCACCACCATTACACTGTGTCTGAAGCTGGCGAAAAGGATGAGGCTGAGCATTCTAAAGAGGCTCTGATTTTTGGAGCGGAGACATCAACCCCACAACGTGGGAGCACTGTCCACGAGAAACAGATGACAAAGCTATCATCCCTTCAGCCTCAGCAATGGCCATGATGCGCCCTACTGTGATTCGGGCAGAAAAAAAAAGTATTTTCCAGTGATTTCATTGTGACCGTTTGATTGCAACATTCTTTTGAAACAAAGAATCACTTGAAAAGTATCAAATATTTCAAACGTAGACATAATTAGCTCTTGAAAAGCTAAAAGTCTGGGCTATTGTGTGGGCTTCTCCCGCCGATATGATAACTCGCCCATTAAGACTTTTTTTCACTGACGGGTTGAAGCTATAACAGGTATTTGTTGGATTTAAAGAGCTCGCACATTTATGTTTGAAACATTCCGTTCTTTTTCTTCCATGAGTGATCTCAAAGGAGGCTACGACCGAGTGATCGCGTGAGTGATTAGACCATCCAAAAACATTGTGTCCCACCACACACAATCGGTTACATTTTAACAACCGTAAAGTGAGGGGAGAAGAGATTGTATTATGTTTTTGTTTCTTATGTAGAAGTTTGTCCTTGTCTTTGGAGTGGGCTCCTCACTTCCACGGGGCAGAGGACTCTGCACATTGCTTTTCAGCATCTTTAGATGAGAAACGGCGCTGTCGGGTTACGGAAGCGGGTGGTCTGTTTCCCTTTCAAATGTCTGCAGGCTACCTTTCCACAAAAAAACCACATAGCTAATGTTTCATCTATTTTATAAGGAAGCAATACATATTAATATAATAACTGTGTAAGTATATAATAGTGTGTTCCATAATTCTATAAAACAGTCATTCTATAATATTTTTGTATTAAGGACATTTTCTGATTAATGTTGCAAAACAAGACAAAAAAAATGGATAGATGTTCAAGCTTGTTTGTCACAGCTCTCCAACTGGAAATGACCAAGTGGCCGGAACATCTTACAAAGTGGGCGAGTGCGTCACGTTGGTGGGAGAAGCCCACGAAGATTCTCGGGAAGTGAATGGAACAGCCGCCCCTGGTGACTGGCTACGGCGTGGGCCAGTGGGGAGAACAGGTCACGGCTGCCTTCGAACGTGCAGACATCGGCCTGGCTAATTCTGCTTGCGCCCAGTTCCAGCGTGGAGCACTCGTCACAGACTGCTTTTCTGTGCGTGCTTGGTAGCAAGGCAAGTAGTGATGACATGTCCCAGTGGCTGGATAACTGGAATCTTCTGACTGGTGTAAGAACATCTGTGACGGTGCAAAGTCGGTGGTGAATGAAATGCTGATGCTGTAACAGGACCCCAGACAGTGGTGCCAGCCGCTGCTGTTAGCATCCCCATAGAGCTCATCCTCGTGCCTTTGTGGGGCACAGAACTATTTTACTGCAAAGTCTCCTTGTGAGCCCTGACCGGGTAGCTCAGTTGGTTAGAGCATCATCTTGATGCACAAAGGTTTGCGGGTTCGATCCCCAGCCAGGGCACACAAAAGAATCAACCAATGAATGCATAAATAAGTGGAACAACAAATCCATGTCTCTCCCTCCTCTCTCTAAAATAAATAAAAAACAGAAAAAGATTTAAAAGGTCTCCTTGATGAAGCACTGAAAACGACTCATTTTGGAAAATTTAAAATGTTGAGTGCACATCTTTGCCTCAGGCTGAACCTAGCGGATCTGTTGGCTTCGAGGGAAGCAATGGAGAATGTTGGCCGTGAATGATCACATTCAAGCTTCAAAGCAAGGAAAACGTCTCCATTGCTGTGTGTCTGACAGCTTCTCAATCCTGAAGATTTTTTAAGTGCAGCTGTTGATATGAACAAATGTGATTT